CATATTCCACTCTCGTAAAACCGTCACACTCGCCTTCGGCTCGTGTGTCAAATTTTTCCTCGAGCGGAATATGCTGTATTCCAAACTTGTTACAGAATGTACTATTATTTGGGGTTTCGTCTTATTTTGACTTGTTCAATCTTTTTCTAAATTTATGCCAATAAGTTTAGGGACACCTTGTATAAAATTGGTAGAAAGTGAGGTTAACCACCTGACAGATGTCAGATTTTATTTATTTATTTTAAGAAATGATTTAATTATTTACTAATTGGTGTAGATGAAGGATGGTATTGCAATCAAGATTATTGTTGCAGTTGCAGCGTCAATAAACTTACATACACTTTTATGGAGAGTTTCCTGGATTGGTCCGCAATAATGAAATTCTCAATTTTTTAATACCTGCAAATTTTATTTTAAAGCTAATAGTGCAGGCACTTTCTCATCATAATAACAATATTTCTTTCCTTAAAGGATTTCAAGTGCATCCGCTAGGGGCGCTATTATAAATACAAACTCTTCTATGTATAAAAAATTTACTCTCAATAAGACAATGTTTTATTTCCCAAATATCGAATACTATGTCGCTGTTTTTGACGTTTTGTGAGAAAAATCTTCTCCGATTTCTTCATCTGAATCTATTTCCTTAGACGCACTTATGTTTCCTTTATTAATACCAAATTCTCGAAATACTTTTCAAAAATTACTTGCATTATTAGTAACTAGCTAATATTGTTGTATTTATTTTAAATTCATTATAAATCATACAAATAATATTGTTCACTTGTTCAGCTGTACGACTTCCTCTCAACCGTCTACAAGCTAACGCGAGACATCCTTTTTAATTATTTTGAGTTAATCCAATGGCATGTTTCGCCAAGAAAAATATACTTCGCCTGCTTCCTGACTTCCGCCGTCGCGACGCGTCGTAAATAAAACTGGATGGTCTATTTATCAGTTGTAGATTTAGTTGAAAACTATATTGGGAACTACTTAAAAACTCAAAACATTTTTCGAAAATAAACATCATCTACTACTCGTAACGAAACCATAGAATGAATTACAAAATTCATTACATGCTGATCAAATTCATTTTTAGATAGGTTTTTTGACTAATAAAAGTAAATGATTTGCGGTTGACAGTGTTTTTTTTTAGTTTTTTGAAGAGCTGCGTATTTTTTATAATCAATAATCATTTTAATTCCATGTACTCTTTAAATGCGTTAAAAATTTGGACGACGATGTTGTTCTAGATATTAGACATCTTTTAGGTATGCATTTAACATATTTCGCAACAATATTTTTGGAACTTATATTTTCTTTAACAATTTGAAAAAACGTTTCATCAAAAATATTAATAATAATATTAATAATACAACATTACAAGAAAAATATAAGTAAGTAAGTAAGTAAGTAAGGCTTTTCCTTTAAACATGTTCGATATATTTGAGCTGTCATAATCTGCTTTAAATGATGGATTGCTTCGCATATTAGAATTGTTATGATTATCCGGTATTGACATTTTTGAAATATTTGCTTTTCAAAAAAACAATTTCATAGGTTTAGTAAAGTTTATTTGGAACATCTATGTTTAAATGTATACATTTGCGGCTGCAAAGCGTTTTGTGTACTTGAAATTTAATTTTTTTGTTTACTTGATCCATAAAATAAATGGAAATGGTTACAGGGTAGGGTCTTAGATTTTAAAAATATTTTAAATATGTTAAGACTACACTAAACAAGCACAAAAATGTATTTTTTCAACTCACATGGTTACAATTGTTTTCAAGTAACACACGGGGTTACAATTATTCAAGTAACACACAGGATTACAATTTTTCAAGTAACACACAGGGTTACAATTGTTTTCAAGTAACACACGGGGTTACAATTGTTACTAACTGTAAATAACTTAATCTAAACAACAATAACACAACTAATCTAATCTATTATTACTTGGGACCGAAATGGTCTTAAGCGTTTACTTGCTACGACTCCTTTAATTTTTCGTATATTTTTTGAAAAATATTTTAACGTAATATGCTCTTCAAGTTGTTAAATTTCAATTTAGTTGTTGTAATAACTTAAATTTTTAAAGTGACACATTACACGCACCTTTTAGCTCAGACGTAGACAAAATAAGACTATTTCAAAGTGGGTATTTCTTTCTTTGGCTAACCGCAGTAAATAAAGAATTAACAAAAATATACTATACCTTGAAAGTTAATCAACTGACAAAAAAATAAAACTCTATTTTCCCCAGTTATAAAAAATATCTATTTTAAGATTTAGCAGTTTTCAAAAATAACAATTAGACAGTGTATTGTTTAACATTAGAAAATATAGGTATTATTAATAATAATTAATTACAATAAATGACATGTAAAATAATCCAAACAATTAAATAGTATAACAATCTGAAGGATTGCGTACTTAAAAAAAACAAGTTTTATAAACTATATTGATAATCAAAATTGAATACAAGTTAAATAGTAAAACAATCAGATGGATTGCGTACTTAAAAAAAAACAAGTTTTATAAACTATATTAATAATCAAAATTTAATACAAGTTAAATAGTAAAACAATCAGATGGATTGCGTACTGCAGGAATTTTATAATACAAAAAAAACTAATAATAAAACAACCTGGGTTGGATATTCCAAGAGTTTGATGACTTCGATGTTAATTATTATTAAAAAGACTACATCACCTTATTAACCGTTGGATTTGTCTATTCCTTGCTGGTCGATCTGCTTGTCGAAATGGACAGTGGATTCAGAATCAGATCCATGCAGTGTTCATAACCTCAATCGGAATATTTTGCCGGAACAAAATGCTTGATTAACTTTAGTAATACTTGCAAACTCCTCAATAATAACAAACTTGGTTGGACATCGTAAAATAATTCGTTTCCATAAAATTTTCACAGCGTGGGTACGCCGCACAAAAAAATCGCAATCAAAATGGCTAATTACGCATTACTTTTCCAATAACCAAAATTCCAACAAATAGTGCAATCACAATCAATGTAAAAATACACGCAGGTAACTAGTACTCGATAATAGGGTACGGCCAAGGATATCCCTTTGGCCGTGTGTAACAGGTGGGTGCTCAAACAGAAAAGAAGAATTTGCGTACGTGACCAAATAATTTTAATCGTGCGCATGCGGCATAAATATACGCACAGCGATTACACTACTACTTGAAACAATTAGGCATTTACAAGTATAACAAGAAACGACGAAAATGAAACTGAACATGACACGATCTTTTTTAATCGTGACAATATTCAACCTTATAGCCGTCATTACCTAGAATCCGTACTACCTTGACCGGATCAATAAACTTGGGCACCAGTTTGCCAATTGTCAGACCTTTTACTAGAAGAGTACGCTCAACTAAGAAAGTGTCTCCAACTTTGCATTGTTTGGCAAATAACTTATTTTTGTCGAATCCTCTCCTGCTTGATCACATTTATTTTTCGCCTTCTTTCGTATTTCATTCGTCTTTTTTTCTTTTAGAGAAAACTTTGATTTCGTTATCTACTTTAGAAAGAAAACCATAAAGTAAATCACTTGTCGCGAAACCTGTTGTCGCATTTATTGTTCCATTGATTCCCCTCTGTACTTTTACTAGGTACTTGTCCCAGCCATGATTCCCACCCTTCTAGGATCCTTTTGTAGGAGGCTCTCTAGGCCCGGGTGATAGCAAGTTTCATGGTCCTCCTCGCTTCCTTGAGACGTACCGACGCCGCGCGGAGGGCCGCCTCGCTGGGCTTGCTGGGCTCGCTGGACCTCGCTGGGCTCCAGTCTCGCCCTGACCCTCTTCCTGGCTTCCTGTCGCCGACATTTGTTCCTGTTGGAGATGGTCAGCTCCACCTCTTCGTACCACCAATATACTGCCCTGCGTCGATTAACCCCAGGGGGGGCTGCGGCCTGACAGGCCCATTTCAGGGCACTCGTGAGAGTGCCGGCGTCTATTTCATAAATTCCGAAGAGTCTCTCTCCCAGGGCCGCCCGAAACTTTGCTCGCTGCGCATCGGTGGTGATGCGCCACCCTTGCCGCGGCCGCTCGCAGAGCCCCGTCGCCTTCGACAGCGTGAACTCGATGGCCCGGTGGTCGCTTAGAGTCTCCTCATCGGACACCCTCCAGTCCGCAGCCGTCCTGCCACCATCACCCACCATGGTCACATCGATAACGCTGGTGCGCTCGTTCACGCTGAACGTCGGCGTGGATCCGACGTTCAGCATGCTCAAGTTGAGGCTGGCCGCCCAGTCTTTGAGCGCCCGGCCCCTGTCGTCCTCAACGCCCGAGCCCCAAGTGTGACTCTTAGCATTGAAGTCGCCCCCAACTATCACGGTTATGTTCGGCCTCTCCGCTCTAATCTGGGCGTCCAGCTCCTCCAGGTCCCGCTCGTACACCTTTTTGCCAGCGTTAGGGGAGAAGTACACCGAGTATAGCACCACGTCTCCTATCTTAACCCTTACGAAAGCGGCGCTACTGCCTTTGTCGTCGCAGCGTCCAAATCGCATCCGTCAGTCCTTCGTTGACGACCCATCCAGCACTCCCGGTCACAACCTGCCTGTTGGACTCGCTGATCAGTGCGGCACGGGCGTTCTTTCTCCTGCATCGGTCATATAGCAGGTAGTGAGCCCGCCTGCTCCGGTTCGTGTTTAGCTGGACTACCAGCTGCCCTCTTTCTTCGGTAGAGCCCATTGCGTCAATTACTGCCCTAACGCATACACAGCACACTTGCACGATGGCGGCAGCTACCCGCTATCGTGCCTCAGCACTCTGCCTCCTGGCCGAATTGAGAAGTGTCCTCATGCGGCCGCACATACCTGACCACGCTCGATGCGGCTGTTCGCAGAGAAGGCAGTGGGGCTCTCCCGTGCACTTCTGTGCAGTGTGCCCCGCTCCTCCGCATTTCAGGCAGCACCCGCACTCGCGAAGTGACCTGGCTCCCAGCATCTGTGGCACTTCTTAACATTTACCCTGGGCCTAACGCTGGCAGGGGTCAGTCCCATAATGATCCTCGTGGGCCAGTATTGCTGCACAAATTTCCGGTGGGGCCAGCACCGTGGCCGCCTGCTTCCCTCTGAAGCCGCTACGCAGGTCCCTGACCTCTATATCACCCTCAGCCGCGCCGATCTGCTCCTTGATGGCAGCCTTGATCTCCTCCTCGCTTAAGGCCGCCTCGATGTTTGTCACCACCAGGGCGGTCTTCTTGTCGGATCTTAGGATTTCGGTTTTTTCCCCACACTGTCCTCCGTAATAAGCCTGGCCACATCTTTGGCGTTACCCTCACTCAGGCTAATGAGCAAGTGCCCATCCCTGGTCTGGTGGATATCCGCCACCTTCACACCCTGCCCCTTCAAATCTTTCCTGGCGCCGGCCAGGAGCGCCAGGTACTCCTCGGGCTTTGTTCCCCTTACTAGTACAGCCTCGTGCCGGTGTTTCCTTGGTCTTACACTGACCTGCCGCGTCATTGTGAAGCGGCCAGCTCCTACCGTCTTTAGTGTTTTCTGCGGAATGCAGACCCTTGCTTTGATTCCCCGACCGGCCACCAGTACGCAGGGCGCCATCTTCCTCGCTGTCCCGGCCATGGCAGCAGGTGCCGCGAAAGAGATCATGTCCGCTCCCTCCAGGCTGGCAATACTGCCCAGCTCCACTATCCCCCGGTACATCTCCTCGGTCGGGTCTTCAGCATCGGGCCTCGCCACCAGGATCCTCTTCCTTCTGGTCTTGTTGCCGATCCTGGTGTTGGTTTCCAGAACCTTCTCTCCCTCCTCGTTGTTCGCCAGATCCGGGAAGCGTTCCCTGGCCACGGCGAGAAAACCCTCGGTCATATCCTCCTTGCCCCGAGGCCAACCACCTCCTCGTCCCAGTTGTTAATCGGGTTGACCTCTACGATTTCGGTTCCTTCGAAACTTTCAGCTACCCACTTACTGCTCTCGGCCGCTTGAAACAACTCGTAGCTCTGGCTCCCCTTCATCCTGGCCTCCCGCGTGATGCTAGGTCTCGGCACCTTGCTCTCGTCGATAGCCCTGTCCATGCCGGCTTCTTGGGCTGACATTATGACTTTGCATAATGCCCCTATCTCCGCGTTGTCTGAGCCTTTTAATGTGTTCGCGGCTGTGACGATCCTGCTCCATTCCTTTCGGAAAGGGTCGTCCTTGCCGCCTATGCCCTTTTCAGAGGCCTTTCCTGCTACCTGCGCATAGCTGACAGGCGCAATGTACTTTGGGTTTGCCTGTTTAATGCTTCCCAGGTTTTCGGGGGAAGTCTGGGTGTCCGCATCGTACGTGGGCATATCCGGATTATCGAACCTGTGGTCGTTTAGCCACTCCTATACATATGAATGTTATCTATGTCAATTGGATTAATAAAATTATTATTATTATTATTATTATTTACAAAAATTACAAACTTTCTTTGTATTATTTTTAGCACATTCTGCTTTTTTATGTCCAGCTTGGTTACATTAAAAAGATTTGGACTTATTTGTGCTAGATGTTTTATCAAATTTATGATAACGATTAACACTTTCTAAGTAACAATTATTTTCTCTCTAATGTTCACTATTTGTTACAAGAAATTTTAAAACTTCATTACTGTTTTGATATCCTGCCGCTATCGCGCCCGATTTTAGGAAAGGATCGTTTATCGTATAGTTTAATATTTCAACAATAACATTATCATTTGGTCCACAACTCTGCCCTAACGCTAATTTACGATAATAAAAATCTACTAAATTATTATTTCTTTCGCGCACCACATTAATAAGTTCCTTAAGTTTTCTAAAAATATCTGATCGGTGGGAAAGCGTCTAGTAGTTTAATTTTCCACTGTTTCCAAGTGATGTTAAGGCCAGTTTGATTATTATACCAGCTTTTTGCATTTCCTTTTAACCTATTGGCCATGCAGAAAATTTTTGCCTTTTCATCCCAACCAAAAAGCTCACCAGTCGAATCATTTGTCTTCAACCATTGTTCCATGTTCGCTTCGTCTGAACCACCCGAAAAATACGTCACACTATCAATTTTTCCACAGTAGCGATTAAAGTTACCGGAATCTACGTTTTAAATTTTACGCTTTAGTTTTTATTTTTTCGAGACCCATCAGATGAAGGAGTATAAAGTATAAAGTATAAATATGCCATTTTCATCCCTTTACCCAATATTTAATTTATATATGAAACTTAGTATTTTTTAAACAACCCAGAACTCATCACGGGGAGGTAACTGCTCGGCGAGTTCCATCCCACCCTCCCATATACATAAATACTTCATTTTTGTACGCAGTTTAAAAGGTCAAAATATTATACACCGCCGTACAATAATGAAAATACATTGAAATTACATAGCAAGAGAGGTTCCAACTCTCGCGTTTAGCATAAAATCAAAGAAAATGTAAAATTACAGGTCACTAGAATAAATTAGAGGTGGCAAGTTTGATTCCTATTCGTTAAAAAAGAACGAATCATTTAAATGAATCGAATGAATCGAACACAGTTTGTAAAAGAATTAATTCTTTTTTGAATCACTTTGAGAGAATTGAAAAATGAATCAAACCATAGAATTAATATGGACTCAATTTGGTCACAGGCACTGAATTAAATGTGAAAATTTAGCAGCTAAGTTCGGATCACACTGCGTCCTTGGGCAAAATTTCGGTCTTTTGAAAATCTGGTGATATTTCTTGGGATATTTTATGGAATATTCTGTCAAATATTAGATAATAATATTAGATATTAGTAGATGTTAATGTTAATTATTGCACAGAATAATTTACACGTAAGTAAAATAAAAATCGAATCGAATAATTCAATAATACCTACAATTCAAGATTCAAGAATAAATGAATCATTGATCGAATCGGGGTAGAAAAAAATAACATACAGGGACGGCATGGGAAAATATAGGCTTTCTTAAAAAAACAATTATTACTAACGGTTTATTAAAAAAAGTTAAAAAAAAATGAAAACAACGAAAAAATAATATTTCTTTGGCATAATAAAATAAAATATAAACTCTGGCATAATATTTAAAACTAAGAAAACATATATTCAAAAATAGTAAAAAAATAAACTATTTAATGTAAAAATGTATGATTAGCATTAATAAATAATAATTTTTGAACTTTGTTCGCGCTTAATCTAGTTCTCTTTTCGCTAATAGTTAATCCGGCCCGTCTTTTTTTCATTATCCTAAAAAGACGAGGATATATTTGTTTTCTATCTTTCCACCAAATTAATGGATTTTCACATCTTTTAATCATAGGCTCCTGAAGATACCTATTCATCTCTATAATTCCTGCAGCTGTAGCATTTTCGTTTTTAGAGACAAATGACGTTTTTTTGTCGTAGTCTTTCCAGATTGACATTGTTTCATTTTCATGATCGACTGTGGAACCGTCACCTTTACTTTCGTTATCTGTGTTATTCGCTTTAGCATTTTCTTCTAAAACAATTTGGCTTGCTGCATTTGTCACCGCTGTCTTTGCCTTTTCAAATGCTTTTGTATCCGTAAATCCAAACTTGGGGTCTAAGAGTGTAGTTTCCGCCAGAGTAAGATTATCTTGAATATTTAAAAATCGTTTATTAAGCTGCTCTATCATCTTTATAATCATATTTTTGATTTCCTTGGGAATGTCAGGGTCATCCTGTAAGGCACTGCAGTGATGTAAAAGTGCCCTACTTAAATAAATTATCTTGGAAATAGTCACATTTTTTTCGGCACTTACAACAACTGTCACCTCTTGAAAAGTGCTCGACAAGAATGTTCTATTATTTTCCAATCAGAAGCTGTCAACGTAAATTTATCAAAGTTGACTATTGCCAAGGTGGCTAATAAAGGTTCCTTAATTTTAAGCACCCTTTCCAACATTTCACTAGTTGAATTCCATCTTATGGGCATGTCTTGTTTTAGGTTTAGTTGTTAGTAGCACATTTGCTCTTCGACTGCTCTTAGTTTTTCTGCAGATTGCGGACTTCTTTTAAAAAATTCAACTATTCCTTTTACTTTAACATGCGTATCATGTATTTCTTTAAGACCAGCTAGTACAACTAAATTAATAGAATGGGCAAAACAGGGTAAATGTTTCCACCCACCTAATCGCGCAGTGGCACTCATATTAGCAGCATTGTCTGTCACTAAAGCTACTATTTTTTCATAAACTCCCCATTCTATTAATACCCTTTTTGTTTCTGCTGCCAAGTTTTCAGCAGTATGCCTTTCATTATATTTAAAGCAATCTAATAAAAATGTTCGCAGCTCACAATTTTCATTTATGAAGTGTACTGTTAATGCCAAATAACAGTAATTACTCAATGAGGTCCATCCGTCGGTTGTAATGGCTACAGCAGTTGCTGAAAATAATTCCTTCTTTACAATATTATCCAGTATATTGTAAACTTGAATTAGTAAACAGTTTGAAGCGGTTTTGCGAGAAGGCACATATGAGGGATTAAGCATTTGAATTAAAATTTTAAATTGTTCATTTTCTACCAATGTAAACGGTAAATATTCACTACCGATCATTTTAATTAGCTGAAAATCTATTTGTTTACTTTTGGTAACGGATATTGGACGATTTGTAAATTGGGTAATTCGATACTGTGCTTTGAAATTACCTGTCGTAGTATCATTCTTATTCTTATTATTCATTGAAATAGGCCATTTGTTTACATTTGCAGTAGAAGTTGAGGGTTCTTGAGTATTAGAATCCTCCTTTTGATTTTGTTTTTCAACTTCTGTATCGCCAGGTAAAGTTAATGGGGAACGTGAGTTCCGTGGAACCTTTTTAAATTAAAAAAAAAATGTTTTATGAGAACTTTTTTTTATTAGAAAACGTACCTACCTTTTTCTTTAAATTGTCTAGATCAACACCTGGATGTTTAGTTTTGGTATGTCTAATCAGGTTAGTGGTTGAGCCCCCTTTGATTGACAGTATAACCAAGCACATATCACATTTGGCTTTATCAAACGAAATTTTGGTAAAATAATTCCTCGCAAAACTTCTATTTCTTGAGGACATACTTTAATTTTAAAACAAAACTGAATACGACCCTGTGCAACACAATACACAATAATAAATAAAAAGCATATAAAACTAGCCGTTTGAAATGTAAACACTAAGTTCGGATCACTCGGCAGCCTTCGGCAAATTTCGGTCTTTTTGAATATCTGGTGATATATTTCTAGGGATATTTTATGAAATTTTCTGTCAAATGTCAAAATAGTCGATTCGAATACAAACTACCTACCTACTCATGTAAGCTGTGATGTTATTGCACCGGAAAAGCCATAGGTTAATTTATACGTAAGCAAAATAAAATTTGAATTCAATAATTTAATAATACAACCGTTGATTCACTTAACGATACAACCAATACAAGTCATCATTACAAACGATTCAAGAACCAAGTCAATCATTCGGTCGAACCTGAATTGTTCGTTAACTATCTGTTCCCGAACCAGAAAGTGAATCAGTCGCGAACGAATCTTTATGAACGAATCATTTTAAAAGAATGAATAAAAAGAATTGATTCACTAAAAAGAATCGAACTTCCCACCTCTAGAATAAATGCATGTACATAACCTATAATATAACATATTTCAAACTAGTGATGCCGCCGATACGAGAGATTCTCGCCTCTCGTCTCGTCTCGTCTCGTCTCGACGAGACGAGAGGGCGATTTTCTCTCGAAAAAAGGCTCGAGACGAGACGAGAGAATGCCCTCTCTCGCTCGAGAATTTCTCGTTTCTCTCGATCTCTCTCGTTCTCTCGATTATAAAAAACATTTTTTTTTACATAAAAATTATAATTTTGCACATAAATGACGATATTTATTTGAACATTATTCGCATTTCATAATAAACAAAATTTGTTCCTGGTTAACGTTGTATTATTTTATAACACAACTTAACGTTAACCAAGAAAAAATTACTTACAAAATAATAATAATTTTTAAAATTTACCCTGTATAAGCACATCTATGGCACTCCCTATACCATTAAAAAAACCCGTATGCTTAATAAGCATTGCTTATTCAATAAACTTATCAACAAAATGTGGTTTTTGAGGGCCTGATTACAAATTTGATATCCATTTTTTTTTAAATAATATGACGAAAATTCGTCGTTCGGCTTTAATGGTTTGGGAAAAATTTAGTATTCAGATATTTATGGGGTCCCTGATTCATAACTTTAGAAAGTCAAATGGAATGACCCGATTTTTTCACAGATTTTGGTAGTACATAAAAAATGAATAACTTTTATTTGAAACTTTTTTTCAATTTATCAACAGATGGCGCTGTAATTCAAAATTTAAGAAAATGGGTTTCCCTGTAAAATGTATTATTTGAAACGTTTGAAAAAACAAAAATTAACATTAAATCAACAATAGTCGGCTCTGAAAACAATTTATAACAAATGTTCGAAATGTCGTCCTTCCATTTCGACACCAAGTGGAGCAACAGCGTCCCTGGTCGGTAAACGTTTGGTGCGGTACCTTTGGCGAACGGCATTAAATGGTCAAAATTACCAGAATTTTCTAGAAAACGATCTGCCAGACTTCTTCCTGTGGGGTTACTTGAAAGAAAAGGTTTACGCTGCAATTCCTACAACTCGGGAGGACATGGTGGAGCCAGAATTCATTACCCGCATTCAAAAATGTGTCGAAATGAAAGAATGACATTTTGAACATTTGTTATAAATTGTTTTCAGAGCCGACTATTGTTGACTTAATGTTAATTTTTGTTTTTCAAACGTTTCAAATAATACATTTTACAAGGAAACCCCATTTTATTAAATTTTGAGTTACAGCGCCATATGTTGATAAATTGAAAAAAAGTTTCAAATAAAAGTTATTCATTTTTTATGTACTACCAAAATCTGTGAAAAAATCGGGTCATTCCATTTGACTTTCTAAAGTTATCCCCCGTTTCACCCTTAAGGAGGGGTAGGGGGTGGCTAGCGGTAGCACCAAATAATGTCCCCTTTGGTCACATTAACCTTTTATTTAGGACATTTTTCTGTGAAATGCGTATTTCACGAGATATTGAGCTGTCTCAAGTTAAAAGAAACACCTATTATAGGTGTATACTACCCTACTATGGAGAAAGGCAGTAACTGCTAAACAAGAAATTTGTGAAAAATTAGCTTAAACTACATTTTTATAAAAAGCAGTAGGTATTTAATTGATTTTTTTAACTTATAAGATATTTGACTGCATTTCTGTGTTGAATTCGGTTACAAAATGTCCATAGCTTTACCATAGCACAAGAAAACGCATTTTGCATTTTTTTGCCTTTCTCCATAGTAGGGCAGTATAATACTAGATGTAACTAGTAGTTACTAACTACTCCACATAGATCCAACCAGAGTGGGGCAAAATGTATTCGATTATGATTATGATTATGAATATTATTTATGAAATGTAATCATGAATAATGATTACAACAAAGTAATCATAAATCATTCTAACATGAATAACGAATATTATTTATTATTTACGTTTTGAGTGGTTATAAATACTGAAATCGTCAATTATCGGAAAAGAATAATGATTAATATTAATTATAATAATTATTATAATAATAACAATTATTGTAGTCATTGTTTATGATTAATCCCGGCGAAATTATATAACAACGAGTGAATGAATTTTCTTAGTTACATTGTTCTCACTTTAAATTTGTTGAGCAAGGATTAAAGACACCAGTGTTATTTCTAGATATTATTTTTTTTTTAATTATACATATTATTATAATAATTATAATATATAGCCCTAAGACTTTTTCTTTTAATTGGAATTTTAGTTTAATATTTTGTCGAATTTCGATCAAAAATTGTGCGTTTTTCTTCCAAGCACGATGGGGTGTATATTTCGTAAGCTAGGCATGGTTTTTATAAATAACTTTTAAAATGTTTCATCTAACGATCAGAAAATAAAAAGTATTTCAATTTTTTTACAAAACTATGGTATTTTGTTAAAATTAAAATTTTATCAATAAAGTGTGTGTATTGTGGATTATTTTCCAAAGTAATTATACAGAATGATTATAATTACATAATTTATTCTTTAATTCTGATTATAATCATATATGAATATTAATTATAATCATACTTTCATAAATAACGTTATTCATGATTACAACGTAAAATTTGATTATAAATAATGAATATTATTCAAGTAAAGTATTCATGAATAATGACTACATAAATAATCATTAATCACCAATTTTATTCGATTACTCCAACCATTTGATGCGCAAAATTTTCGGCGTAAAAAGTCTTACTTTATTAGTGTGGTCTTGGCACACATTTTTTTTATTTCCAGTTTAAATTTCTATATAAAAAAATATAAACGAATTCGAATTTCATTCCAAATAATTTTTTTATTCATACTTAGGTACTTTTACCACGAGAGAAACGAGACGAGACGAGAGAAAGGCACTCTCGAGCGAGAAAAGAGTATTCTCGACGAGACGAGAGACCCATTTTCTCTCGCTGCACGAGACGAGACGAGAGAAGGACTTTTCTCGTCTCGTCTCGTCTCGCGGCATCACTATTTCAAACGTCAAACCTAAAAAAATGCCACAAACTTGATAATTTACAAGTTAAGTTACAGCCCCAATTGGAACTCACCAAGGCCCGATTGATAAAAGAAATGGAATTATATGTTAATGGGGGTAAACGTGGGTACAATATGTCTACGAATTTTTTAAAACCATTCCTCGAGCTAGTGTGAACTCCAAAAGATTTCCTTCGTTAGTTTGTTTGTTTCTTTATTTTAAGTTGGTTTTAAAATAAATGATATATATTTTTTCGGGACTTATCCCCGGATCCCGGGAAAACTTTTTGTCGTTAAGATGTTGAGAAAACTTAACTTCTTATTTTATTATATATTATATATTTTAAGAATATCTATAATATATACAATATATTATAGATATTCATATATGTATTATATATAATAGTAGTTAAAAAACTGTTTTGTTAGCCAGGGTGTCTGGCGCGTCCGTGCAGCATTCTTAGGTGCGCTTCTTTTATATTTAAATTTAATACATTAAATATTTTAATTTTAAGCCCTAAAATTTAAAAAATATATATTTTGCGACAAACTGGCAATATGTAATTTAAAATGTAAAAAAACTGCTAATCAAACCAAACAAAAGCACAAAAAATATTTAGTAATAATAATACCCTAGAGAAAACAAAAAAAACTATATAAAAAATATAATATTTAACTACAACTGGTTTTTAGTGACGTAAAGTGTTAAACTTTGCTGCCTTCAACTGCAACTATATAACACTAAAAAATTATGACAATTTCTATCCTTTTATTTTGATGCTAATATGCATAAGGCTGTAATGCGGCCGACGCATAGAAAGGGGGAACATTTATACTATGTATGTTTAAGTATTTGTTTATTTGCAAGAAAGTTTATTGTTACAAAGTACTTTGATTTAGCGTTCCCAAAATGTTGCGCCAGAAACGGCCCTGTTGTTAGATATATAAAAAATTTTAATAAATAATAATAAAAATACCTTTAAATCTATGGTCACGTACTTTATCTTAATACAAATGTAGTGTAATTTTAATTATTGTGTGGTCCCTAATTTCGTCTTAAACAGAAAACTATATGTGGTACAGTAGAAACAACGAATATATGAACGTGACTCATCAGGCACAATCGTACGAAGTAATCTATCGAAGGTCACGGTCCAGTGCAGTGCTGTATAACGGGTATTTGTAAAAAATCTTGAGTGTAATGTTGGTTGCTATACTTCTGATTAGTGTTGTCACTGAAAAAAAACAGTCTTGTTTTTTTTAAAAAAGAATGTTTTTTTTAGAAAAAAAAGAGGTCCTTGTTTTTTTTCAAAAAAAATGTTTTTTTTTTTAAAATGGTCAAAAATACTCAAATTATATTAAGTGACAGGATTTTCTAAATGTCACTGCTAAGGAAAGAATTTTTGGCACATTCTGTCACTAGAAGATTATTAAATACTAATTATAGTTCCCGGGAAAAA